AGGTCGTGGGAGGTCAGGCAGCCGTCGTCCTTGTCGTGGAGGAAACCAGCCGCGCAAGGAGAAGCAGTCGACCAAGACATCGACTTCGGCGAAGGACGCCGACTCCCCTACTGGCCGCAAGGGGCGAGACGACAAGACGGCGTCGTGCTCGCTGGTCGGCGTCGTGGAGCCGACCATCTCTCTGGCACCGGAGGCCAGAGAGGACTTCCAGGTGGTGGCGGCAGCTGTGCAGGCGAACCCGGCGGTGGTCCTGCTCGACAGCGGTTGCTCCCACCACCTGATGAGCATGAGGGAAGCCTTCGTCGACCTGCAGCCGAGCGGCGCCATCAGGCATGTGCGCGGCTTCAATGGGGCGCTGCAGGATGTCCAGGGCCGCGGCACCGTCGCTCTGCAAGGAGAGGCCGGGAAGGAGGTGCTCATCCCCGACGTGTTGTACGTCCCGTGTGTGCGAGCCAACCTGCTGTCGGCCGGCCAGCTGAAGGAGCATGGCGTGAAGCTGCAGGAGGACGGAGACGGCATGCTGCTCGTCTCGGCAGCAGGGGAGGTGCTCGGGCGGGCGACGTACTCTGGGCGAGTCCTCTGCACCGACCTGCGTCCCTGCACGACGACGTCAGCGTCGACCACGCTGGAGGTCGTGGCTCTGCGGGCGATCGTCTCGAAGACGAAGTCGACGCCGGACCGGATGCATGCGAGGCTTGCGCACGTCGGCATGGACACCATACGGAGCTCGGCGAAGAACGAGGTTGCCATTGGGCTGGACCTCAAGTCGGCGACGGACGCCAACTCCCGGTGTGTCTCGTGCGTCGGCGGGAAACTGGCGCGGCACACCTTCCCCGACCAAGGCTCCGACGCCGACAACGTGCTGGCCGTCGTGCACATCGACCTGTGCGGGCCGTTCCGCGTGACTGCCAAGGATGGCAGGCCTGTACTTCTTGCTGCTGAAGGACCGCAAGACCCGCTACGTGTGGGTGAAGCCGATCGCCAAGAAGTCGGATGCGTTGCAAGCGTTCCTGCAGTGGCTGGTGGTGGCTGAGCGGCAGACGAAGAAGTCGGTGTTGATGCTGCGCTCAGACTGGGGAGGGGAGTCCCTCGGGAAGCAGTTCACCGACTTCGTGAACGGCAAGGGGATCGTCCACGACCTGACCTGCCCATACACCCCGAAGCAGAACGGCATGGCGGAGCGGGAGATGAGGACGGTGGTGGAGTCGGTGCGGACAATGCTGCTGCACATGGGTGTGCAGCACCACTGGTGGCACCTCGCTCTGCGGCAGGCCGTCTGGGTCCGCAACTGCCTTGAGAGGTCGACGCTGCCGCCGGGGATGACGCCGTACCAGCTGCTGACCGGGAAGAAGCCCGACTTGTCACTGGCATGGGGCTGCATGGCGCAGTTCCTTGTCCCTGAGCAGCAGCGTGGTGGGAAGCTGAAGCCGAAGGCCAGGTGGGGCCTGCACCTTGGCGTGTCGGTGGCGAGCAAGGGCTGGGAGCTCCTCGACGTCAACACCGACCGAGTGGTCACCACGTCAGACGTGGTGTTTTACGAGGAGATGTCGCTGGCCGAGTGGAAGACAGACCATGGGCCGGTGTCCGGCGGCTCGCAGTCCACTCCGCCCTCTGACACCTCGTCAGCGACGCTGCCGCTGCTTGCCGAAGTCGGTGAGCTTGCTACTGAGGACGTCGAAGACGTCCGCATCCCTACCCCTCCCCCTCTAACCCCTGCCCCTCCCCTCGTGGCCGACCTGCGTGGGCTGACCTCGGTGTCGGCCTTTGGCGATGAGGGGAGTCGTGGGACGCCGCCTTCGGCGCCGGCCAAGTGCATCGCCGGTGGCCGACGTGACGAGCGGCGAATCGACGTGGGATTGCAGTCAACAGGGGAGGAGCAGGTCGAGGAGCAGCAGCCGACAAGGGAGCAGGCTGCCGTGAAGCCGACCACGGAGCAGTCGGTGACCGGGCCGTCGGCAGGGGAGCCGACCACAGGGGAGAAGTCGGCTGGGAAGCCGATCACAGTGGAGCAGTTGGCTGGGACGCCGGCTGAGGAGCAGCAGGACGCCGAGGGCAGCGACGACAGCGACGATGGAGGGGATGCCGAGGGGGCCCAGCCGGGACCACGGCGTTCAGGCCGACTTCGGAGGCCGCCAGACTTCTTCGTCCCCGCTGCCTTCACCACGGTGTATGACGTGGACGATGACAACGACCTGCTGTACGATGACGCCGAGGAGGATGAGGAGTTTCCGGAGCTCGACCCCGACATGCTAGCCGACCCCGAGCACCGTTGGGACATCTCGACGATGACGGTGAAGGAGGCGTTGGCGAGCTGGAAGGGCCCTGCGGTGAAGGCCGCCATGGAGGAGGAGATTTGCAGCCTCATCAACATGGGCACTTAGGAGCTGGTCGAACGCCCGCCGGGGGTGAACGTCATGAAGAACTGGTGGGTGTTGATGACGAAGTACCACATCGACGACACCGTCGAGCGAGAGAAGGCGAGGCTGGTCGTGAAGGGCTTCACACAGGTGTACGGCGCCGACTACGACGAGACGTTCGCGCCGGTGAGCAGCTACGTCACGCTGAGGATCTTCCTCAGCATCGTCGCCGTCCTCAACCTCAACCTGATGTAGCTCGACATGAAGAACGCCTTCCTGCAGAGCAAGCTCGATCGGGTGCTGTACATGTCCCAGCCGGACTACTTCAACGATGGAACCGGCCGGGTGTGTAAGCTGCTGAAGAGCCTGTACGGGCTGAAGCAGTCGCCGCTGTTGTGGTACTTGGCGCTCAACGATGTGCTGGTCGGCGCCGGGTGGAAGAAGAGCCAGGTCGACGAGGCTCTTTACTTCAAGGTCGGCGAGGGTGGAGTGGCCTGCTGGGTGCTGGTCTACGTGGACGACCTGCTTGCCGCCAGCAGCAGCGTCGCGATGCTGAAGGAGCTGAAGGAGCTGCTGGAAGCTGCCTTCGAGCTGCGCGAGATCTCCCCGGTGCAGAAGTACCTCGGGCTGGAGATCGTGCACGACAGGTCGGCGGGGAAGCTGTGGCTGCATCAGCAGGGCTACACCGACAAGCTTCGTAGGCGCTTCATCGACGAGGAGCAGACCGGGCGCACCCCGAAGGCACCGGTCTCGGTCCGCGCCTACGCCGAGCTCACCTTTGATGACAAGGAGGCGCAGGAACGGCAGGAGGAGTACCGGCAGAAGGTCGGCTCGCTGCAGTTCGCGGCGACGACGACGAGGCCGGACATCGCCTTCGCCTGCAGCAAGCTGGGGAGCGGCCTCACGGTGAGAAGCAACCAGCACTGGCGCGAGGTCGACCGCTGCCTCGCATACCTCGCCAACACGCGTGACACCGCCCTGGAGTTCAGCGGTGGACGTGAGTCACTGGAGCTGGTCGGCTACGTGGACGCCGACGACGCTGGAGACAAGCAGAACAGGACGAGCACGAGCGGCTACGTGTTCATCTACGGAGAAGCTGCAGTCTCCTGGTCGAGCCAGCGCATCAAGTGCGCGACGTTGTCGCCGACCGAGTCGGAGTACGTGGCGGCCACTGAAGGTGGCAAGGACGGACGCCGCCTTCGCTTCCTCCTCGCCGAGTTCCGGCAGCTGGACGCCGGAAATCCGACTGTCCTGCGCATGGACAACAAGTCGGCCATCACGGTCGCCAAGGGCATGGGGTTGACAGGCAACCTCAAGCACATGGAGCGGCGACAGGCCTGGCTGCAGCACATGGTGAAGCGCAGAAAGTTCTTGCTGCAGTACATCCCAACCGCTGAGCAGCCAGCCGACTTTCTAACGAAGGCGCTGCACTATCCGGCCTTCAACCGGTGCTCCGTCGCAATCGGTCAGGTGCGCTTGGCCAACGTGGGCGACGGCGACAACGACGTGCAGCACTAGGTGCCATGCCCTCTTGCATGGCTGGTGCGGTGACCAGCGTGATGTGTGTTGGGTGCACGCCGACGGGCTATTCTCGGAGCTGTACTGCCGTGCGGGCTAGGGGGGCCCAAGCGTGAACGCGGCAGAGGAGTGTCAACGGGAGTTGTGTGTTGGCCCCGTCCTCGCTTGGGCGGAGCCGACATTGTGGTCGGGTGTGAGGGGAACAGCCGACCTACAGCAGTGGGCGAGCTGGTTGACGACGAGGTCGACCTGCACCGGGACCACTGCACGGGCGCCAACTTCGGGGAGGTTGACTTGGGAGCCGACCTGCGGAGGATGTCAACTTGGGGAAGCCGACTTCGGTGGTCGGCTGATGGACCGCTGGTCGACCTGCGGGTGGTCGACTGGACCTGGTGGTCGACGAAGGAGGGGCTGACGTCGACCTCGACTCGGCGTCGAGTAACGGGGCGTTAACTTCGTGACGCCAACTTCGGGTGGCCGACGTGGGTGGTCGGCGGACGACTATGCTGGTCGACGAGGAGCAGGTCGACCAGGAGTACTGGTCGACGTAGAGTTGGTCGACCAGAAGAGACGTCGACCTGGAGGAGGTTGACCCATGGAGGTGGTCGTCGACTTGGGAGGTCGACGGGCACGTACGGGAGCTGCCGGTCGACGTGGTTATCTCGAGGTCGACGTGGCCGATCAGAGGCAGTCGTCAGCTCGAGATTGACGTGGTGTGTGCGATGTGCAGGTGACGAGACTCTGCACGCCAATCATCTGTGCACACCTGCGAAGCGGGTGCACTGCTGTCCTGCGTGAGCAATGCTGGCACGCCGTCAACCTGCGACGTTGGCACGCCGTCGACCTCGCCTTGCTGGAGCGCGGTCGACCAAGCCGTGCTGGAACGCGGTCAACCAAGCTGCGCTGGCATTTGGCCAACCTGAATGCTTGCTCTGATGTAGTCTTGCTATGCCAACTTCATTGTATCATTGTTCTGAACTTTTCCTAGTGAAACTTTTGCCAACTTTCCCCGTGAACTAGCAAGTAGTGTATGCACAAGGAAAACGACTAAGGACTAACGAACGCAGAGATCACACGAGCACACGTGCCTAGCCCGTAGTCCTATCTCCCGTTGCAGCAGTTATCTCAGCAGGTGGAGTCCGCACCCCCGCACTGCTCACCCGCGCGGTCGCCGGTGCGTAGGACGTAGGTGCACGGACCAATACCCCCACCCCGCTGGCGTTGACCACCACCGGAGCCGACCCTCTGCACAGCGCCACCCCGACCAGCTGCGCCTCCTCCGCCGCCGCCTCCTCCTCCGCCGCCACCTCCGCCACCTCCGCTCCCACCGCCACCGCTGCCTCCGGCTCCGCATCCACTGCCGCCACCGACACCTCCACCCCCGCCACCACTCCCACCACCACCCCCACCCCCTCCTCTGCCTCCACCGCCACCTCCGTCACCCCCGCCAGCCCCTCCAGCACCCTTGCCCCCCTTGCCCTTGCCGGTGCGGCGTCTCCGGATCGGGGCAGACGCAGCGCCGACCGACTCGAAACCAACGAGGTCGGCTGCAGCAGCAGAGGCAATAGAGGGCAAAAAGGGGGAGGGGGAACAACCCTCAAAGACAGGGGTGCGAGGGTCACCACGAGAGGCTCCTAGAGCGAATATGCTCTTCTCTGCTGCTAGGAGGGCCTTCTAGAGGAGGTCAACGGTGAGAGTGGTGGGGCAAACTGAGAGGAAGTGGTCCCTGACTACGCGGAGAGGGTCAGGGAGTCGGGCGACTATGTAGTAGAGGGTGATGTACATGGGGGGGGGGGGGGGGGGAGGGGGGTTTGGCGCAGAACTCAGCAGGAAGCGCAGCGCGGTAGCGAGTGTCACTAGTGAGGTCAGTGACTGTGGGAAAGGCAGCAAGGTCAAGGAAGAGGTACGGTAGCATGAGGCGGCTCAGTGCAGCAGTGGAAGGGGAGGAGTAGCATGCAACTACAGTGTCGTACAAGGTCTGAGCACTCTTGTACTGGCTAAAGTGCGCACGCTCAGAGGTAGGCAGGTGGCAACGCACAGTAAGACGTGCAGCAGCATCGCGTGTGGCCCACTGTGAGCGAACAGTGGCGTCAGCATCAGCAGCAGGGGCAGGAGAGGCACCAGAAGTGAGGTCAAAGAGGGAGAGACCGTCTGCCCTATCGCACTGTAAGAAAAGCTGCAGGTCATCTACCCAGACGTCAAAGTCAATGGCCCGACCCTCAGCGTCAAAAGCGAGGGCACTAGGGGTAGCCATGAGAGCAGTAGACTAGCAGCGAGAACACTAGGGTAAGGGCAGTGCAGTGATAGAGGCGCTGCTCTTACCGGACAGGGCGGCTCGGGCGGCTCGGCGGTGCGGGCGGCTCTGGCGGTACGGCGGCTCGGCAGCAACTACGGCTCGTCGGTGCGGGCTTCTGCCTGAGCTTCTGCCCGCCGTGCGCCCTGGGCGCGCGGCGTCTTCCTGCCCCGCGCGTGGCCTGCCCTCACACCGCCTGCGCGCCTGCCTCACGTCCACGGGCGGGCCTGATTTGCCCGCCCGTACCCTCCACTTCGCGGCGCCCTGCGAGGCGCCGCTCCTGCTCGTCGCGACGCACCGGCGGGACCCAGGCGTCGCCACTCCTGCTCGTCGCGACGCCCCTGCAGGATCCGCAAGGCGTCGCCTTGCTCGTCGTGACGCCACTGCGGGACCCGCGGGGCGTCGCCACTGCTCGTCGCGGCGCCCCCTGGACGCCGGCCCTACTCGTCGCGGCGCCCCTGGGGCGTCGCCCGTGCTCGTAGCGGCACTCCTTGGGCGCCGTCCCTGCTCGTCGCGGCGCCCTCCCCCCTGGCCACCGCCTCTGCCTCACCTGCGCCCGCGCCAGCGTTGCAGCCGAGCGCGGGCCTACCTTGCACCAGCACCGCCCCTGGACCTCAGCAGCAGCGCCTGGAGCAGCCGCCCCAGCAGCAGCAGCCTCTGGAGCCGCCGCCCAAAACAGCAGCAGCCTCTGGAGCTGCCGCCACTGCAACGGCCGCCCCAGCAGCAGCAGCGCTGGAGCAGCCGCCCCAGCAGCAGCAGCCTCTGGAGCCGCCGCCCCAGCAGCAGCAGCGCCTGGAGCAGCCGCCCCAGGCGCAGCAGCCCCTGGAGCCGCCGCCCAAACAGCAGCAGCCTCTGGAGCTGCCCGCCACTGCAGCGGCCGCCCCAGCAGCAGCAGCGTCTGGAGCAGCCGCCCCAGCAGCAGCAGCGCCTGGAGCAGCCGCCCCAGCAGCAGCAGCCCGTGGAGCCGCCGCCACTGTAGCAGCCGCCCCAGGCGCAGCAGCCCCTGGAGCCGCCGCCCCAAACAGCAGCAGCCCTAGGAGCTGCCGCCACTGCAGCGGCCGCCCCAGCAGCAGCAGCGTCTGGAGCAGCCGCCCCAGCAGCAGCAGCGCCTGGAGCAGCCGCCCCAGCAGCAGCAGCCCGTGGAGCCGCCGCCACTGCAGCGACCGCCCCAGCAGCAGCAGCGCCTGGAGCAGCCGCCCCAGCAGCAGCCCACGGCGCCGACCCCACAGCTGTATGCACTGCCACTCCTGGACACGGTATGGCTGCCCGTGCCTGTGCTGCCTGTTGCTGTCTGTGCCTGTGCTGCCTGTTGCTGCCTGTGCTTTTGCTGCCCGTTGCTGCCCGTGCCTGTGCTGCCTGTTGCTACCTGTGCTTGTGCTGCCTGTTGCTGCCTGTTGCTGCCCGTGCCTGTGCTGCCTGTTGCCGCCCGTTGCTGCCCGTGCCTGTGCTGCCCGTTGCTGCCAGTGCCTGTGCTGCCTGTTGCCGCCCGTTGCTGCCAGTGCCTGTGCTGCCTGTTGCCGCCCGTTGCTGCCCGTGCCTGTGCTGCCCGTTGCCGCCCGTTGCTGCCCGTGCCTGTGCTGCCCGTTGCTGCCAGTGCCTGTGCTGCCTGTTGCCGCCCGTTGCTGCCTGTGCCTGTGCTGCCTGTTGCCGCCCGTTGCTGCCCGTGCCTGTGCCGCCCGTTGCCGCCCGTTGCTGCCCGTGCCTGCGCTGCCCGTTGCCGCCCGTTGCTGCCCGTGCTTGTGTTGCCTGTTGCTGCCCGTTGCTGCTCGTGCCTGTGCTGCCTGTTGCCGCCCGTTGCTGCCCGTGCCTGTGCTGCCTGTTGCTGCCCGTGCCTGTGCTGCCTGTTGCCGCCCATTGCTGCCCGTGCCTGTGCTGCCCGTTGCCGCCCGATGCTGCCCGTGCCTGTGCTGCCTGTTGCCGCCCGTTGCCGCCCGTTGCTGCCCGTGCCTGTGCTCGTTGCTGCCAGTGTCTGTGCTGCCTGTTGCCGCCCGTTGCTTCCCGTGCCTGTGCTGCCTGTTGCCGCCCGTTGCTGCCCGTGCTTGTGCCGCCCGTTGCTGCCCGTGCCTGCGCTGCCCGTTGCCGCCCGTTGCTGCCCGTGCCTGTGCTGCCTGTTGCCGCCCGTTGCTGCTCGTGCCTTTGCTGCCTGTTGCCGCCCTGCTTCTGCCTGCGCCCTCGTGCGCTCTGCTGCTGCCTGCGCCCTCGTGCGCCCTGCTGCGGCCCGCGCCCTTGTGCGCTCTGCTCTGCCTGCGCCCTCGTGCGCTCTGCTGCTGCCACGTGCCCTCGTGCGCCCTGCTGCTGCCCGCGCCCTTGTGCGCTCTGCTCTGCCTGCGCCCTCGTGCGGTCTGCTGCTGCCCGTGCTCTCGTGCGCCCTGCTGCTGCCCGCGCCCTTGTGCGCTCTGCTCTGCCTGCGCCCTCGTGCGCTCTGCTGCTGCGCGCGCCCTCGTGCGCCCTGCGTTTTCCCCCGTCCAACGTTTTCCCCCGTCCAACGTTTTCCTCCGTCAAACGTTTTCCCCCGTCCAACGTTTTTCCGCGTTTAACGTTTTCCCCAGTCCAACGTTTTCCCCTGTCCAACCTTGGACAGCGTCAAACGTTTTCCCGCGTCCAACATTTTCCCCTGTCCAACGTTTCCCCCGTCCAACATTCTCCCCGACCAACATTTTCCCGCGTCCAACGTTTTCCCACGTTCAACAATTTCCCCCGTCCAACATTTTCCACCATCCAATATTTCCCCCGTCCAACATTTTCCCCCGTCCAATGTATCCCCCTGTCCAGCATTTCCCGCGTCCAACATTTTCTCCTGTCCAACATTTTCACGCGTCCGACATTTTTCCGCGTCCAAGATTTTCCCGCGTCCAACATTTTCCCGCGTCCAACATTTTCCCCCGTCCAACGTTTTCTCGCGTCTAATATTTCCCCCGTCCAACATTTTCCATCGTCCAATATTTCCCCCATCCCACATTTTCCCCCGTCCAACATTTTCCCGCGTCCAACATTTCCCCCCGTCTAACATTTTCCCGCGTCCAACATTTTCCCCGCGTCCAACGTTTTCCCGCGTCCAACGTTTTCCCGCGTCCAACATTTTGCCCCGTCCAACATTTTCCCCCGTCAAACGTTTTCCCCCGTCCAACGTTTTCCTCCGTCCAAACGATTTCCCCCGTCCAACGTTTTCCTGCGTCAACAGAAACCGCGTCCAACGTTTTTCCGCGTCCAAAGTTTTCCCGCGTCCAACGTTTTCCCCTGTCCAATGCTTTTCCCCGCCCAACATTTCCCTCGTCCAACATTTTCTCGCGTCCAATGTTTTCTCGCGTCTAACATTTTCCACCGTCCAATATTTCCCCCGTCCAACATTTTCCCCCGCCCAACATTTTCCCGCGTCCAACGTTTTCCCGCATCCAACGTTTTCCCGCGTCCAACGTTTTCACCGCGTCCAACTTTTTCCCGCGTCCAACGTTTTCCCGCGTCCAACTTTTTCCCGCGTCCAACGTTTTCCCCCGTCCAACATTTTGCCCCGTCCAACATTTGACCTGTCCAACGTTTTCCCTCGTCCAACGTTTTCCTCCGTCCAACGTTTTCCCCGCGTCCAACGTTTTTCCCGCGTCCAACGTTTCCCCCGCGTCCAACGTTTTCCCTGCGTCCAACATTTCCCCGCGTCCAACGTTTTCCCCTGTCCAAGATTTTGCCCCGTCCAACATTTTGACCCGTCCAACGTTTTCCCCTGTCCAACGTTTTCCTGCGTCCAACGTTTGGACACAAAAATGTTGGACACGGGAATGTTGGACTCGAGAATGTTGGACACACGAGAATGTTGGACACGAGAATGTTGGACACATTAATGTTGGATACGAGAATGTTGGACAAGAGAATGTTTGACGCAAAAAATGTTGGACACGAGAATGTTGGACTCGAGAATGTTGGACTCGAGAATGTTGGACTCGAAATGTTGGACTCGAGAATGTTGGACTCGAGAATGTTGGACTCGAAAATGTTGGACTCGAAATGTTGGACAGACGAGAATGTTGGACTCGAGAATGTTGGACTCGAGAATGTTGGACTCGGGAATGTTGGACTCGAGAAATGTTGGACTCGGGAATGTTGGACGTGAGAATGTTGGACACTCGAGAATGTTGGATGCGAAAATGTTAGACTTGATGATGTTAGACTCGATAATGTTGGACTCGTTAATGTTGGACTCGAGAAGTTGGGACACTCGAGAACGTTGGACTCGAGAATGTTGGACTCGAGAAAGTTGGACACACGAGAATGTTGGACACGAGAATGTTTGGACACGAGAATGTTGGACTCGAGAATGTTGGACTCGAGAATGTTGGACGCGAGAATGTTGGATGTGAGAATGTTGGACGCGAGAATGTTGGACGCGAAAATGTTGGACACGAGAATGTTGGGCTCGAGAATGTTGTGTTGACTACTATTGAGACTAGGAACCTCTAAGCGCACCTTTAATCACCACTCAGTTATCCCAACGGGGTCACCTCCAAGGGTCCTCGGGTGCCTGGTAAAACGTTGGCAGCGAATTCAATTGATGCCTCAGGCCGCGCGTGTGCCACGATTGGCACACTCCCATGATTGCGCAACATGCGCAACAGTGCTCGGGCTCATGGCCTTGAGCCTTGACCACCTCGATAAGGCGAATCCCTTAAGCCTCACGAACAAACACAAAATTTCAAACGAACTCATTAAAACAACTCAAAATGCAACTCACAAACTTCACCTGAAAACCACGAACTCACACGAAATCAAACGAACGCTTCACGAACAGACTCATGAACATTCACGACACTTTCACGAACACTCGTGACTCGCAGATCACATGAAATAACACGAACACACGCCTTCACATACAGAAACCCATGAACAGTCACAAATGCAACCCTTCACGAAAAACACTCATAACTCATGAACCGTCGAGGCGATTCACAAACCGTAAATGCTCAAACGTAAAGCACAGAAAAGTGCACCTCTCACACAGCAAATTACCTTCAACCAGAAAACTTCACTTACCTTCACCGCCGGCGAATAGGCAGTAGGTTGACATGCAAAACACTTTTGCACTCAACATGTTAGACACACGAGAATGTTGGACACGAGAATATTGGACACGAGAATGTTGGACTCGATAATGTTGGACTCGATAATGTTAGACTCGATAATGTTTGACTCGAGAATGTTGGACTCAAGAATGTTAGACTCGAGAATGTTGGACTCAATAACGTTGGACTCGAGAATGGTTGGACAAACGAGAATGTTGGACTCGATAATGTTGGACTCGAGAATGTTGGACTCGGAAATGTTGGACTCGAGAATGTTGGACTCGGGAATGTTGGACGCGAGAATGTTGGACCCGAGAATGTTGGACTCCTAAACGTTGGGACTCGAGAATGTTGGACTCGTAAACGGTGGGACTCGAGAATGTTGGACAGACGAGAATGTTGGACTCGAGAAAGTGGACTCGAGAATGTTGGACACGAAAATGTTGGACACGAGAATGTTGGACTCGAAAATGTTGGACACACGAGAATGTTGGACACACGAGAATGTTGGACACGAGAATGTTGGACACGCGAATGTTGGACTCGAGAATTATGGCCTCGATAATGTTGGACTCGAGAATGTTGGACACAATAATGTTAGACTCGGAATGTTGGATACGAGAATGTTGGACTCGAGAATGTTGGACACAATAATGTTAGACTCGGGAATGTTGGATACGAGAATGTTGGACACGAGAATGTTGGACTAGAGAATGTTGGACACGAGAATGTTGGACACTCGGGAATGTTGAACTCGAGAAATGTTGGACGCGAGAATGTTGGACACCCGAGAATGTTGGACTCGAGAATGCTCAAGCAGGCACTTGGTCCAAGCAGGCACTTGGTCCAAGCAAGCACTTGGTCCAAGCAAGCACTTGGTCCAAGCAAGCCTCACTTGGTCCAAGCAAGCATTTTGGTCCAAGCAAGCCTCGCTTGGTCCAAGCCTCGCTTGGTCCAAGCAAGCATTTGGTCCAAGCAAGCACTTGGTCCAAGCAAGCACTTGGTCCAAGCAAGCAATTGGTCCAAGCAAGCACTTGGTCCAAGAAAGCACTTGTTTCCAAGCAAGCACTTGTTCCAAGCAAGCATCTGTTCCAAGCAAGCACTTGGTCCAAGCAAGCACTTGATAACATTTTCCCGCGTCCAACATTTTCCCGCGTCTAACATTTTCCCGCGTCCAACATTTCCCCCGTCTAACATTTTCCTCCGTCCAACGTTTTCCCGCGTCCAACGTTTTCCCGCCTCCAACGTTTTCACCCGTCCAACGTTTTCCCGCGTCCAACGTTTTCCCGCGTCCAACGTTTTCACGCGTCCAACGTTTTCCCGCGTCCCAACTTTTTCTCGCGTCCAACGTTTTCCCCCGTCCAACATTTTGCCCCGTCCAACGTTTTTGACCTGTCCAACGTTTCCCCCATCAAACGTTTTCCTCTGTCCAACGTTTTCCCGCGTCCACCGTTTTCCCGCGTCCAACGTTTTCCCGCATCAAACGTTTTCCCCGCGTCCAACGTTTTCCCCTATCCAACGATTTCCCCTGTCCAACATTGGACAGCGTCCAACGTTTTCCCGCGTCCTACATTTTCCCCCGTCCAACAATTTCACCCATCCAACATTTCCCCCGTCCAACATTCTCCTCGTCCAACATACTACCGCGCCCAACGTTTTCCGGCGTTCAATGTTTCTCCCTCATCCAACAATTTCCACCGTCCAATATTTCCCCCGTCCAACATTTTCCCCCGTCCAACATTTTCCCGCGTCCAACATTTCCCCCCGTTCTAACATTTTCCCCGCGTCCAACATTTTCCCGCGTCCAAGCAAGCACTTGGTCCAAGCAAGCACTTGGTCCAAGCAAGCACTTTTGTCCAAGCAAGCACTTGGTCCAAGCAAGCATTTGGTCCAAGCAAGCCTCATTTGGTCTAAGCAAGCATTTGGTCCAAGCAAGCACTTGGTCCAAGCAAGCACTTGGTCCAAGCAAGCACTTGGTCCAAGCAAGCACTTGGTCCAAGAAAGCACTTGTTCCAAGAAAGCATCTGTTCCAAGCAAGCACTTGGTCCAAGCCAAGCACTTGATAACATTTTCCCGCGTCCAACATTTTTCCGCGTCCAACATTTTCCCGCGTCCAACATTTTGCCCCGTCCAACATTTTGCCTCGTCCAATTTTCCCCCGTCCAAAATTTCCCCCGTCCAACGTTTTCCCGCGTCCAACCTTTTCCCGCGTCCAACGTTTTCTCGCGTCCAACATTTCCCCGCGTCCAACGTTTTCCCCCGTCCAACATTTTGCCCCGTTCAGCATTTTGACCCGTCTAACGTTTTCCCCTATCCAACGTTTTCCCGCGTCCAACGTTTTCCAGTGTCCAACGTTTTTCGGCGTCCAACGTTTGGACACAAAAATGTTGGGCACGTGAATGTTGGACTCGAGAATGTTGGACACACGAGAATGTTGGACACGAGAATGTTGGACAAATGAATGTTGGACACGAGAATGTTGGACAAGAGAATGTTTGACACAAAATAGTCGGACACGAGAATATTGGACTCGAGAATGTTGGACTGGAGAATGTTGGAC